CTCCTCCTCCTCCTCCTCCTCCTCCTCCTCCTCCTCCTCCTCCTTCTTCTTCTTCTTCTTCTTCTTTCTCCTCCTCCTCCTCCTCCTCTTTCCTGTTCCTCTTCCTCCTTCCATCTTTCCAAGCACCAGCGCCTTCTCCAGAGAACTAGGTCTTTGCCTAATATCTCCAAGGTAGTATAATTTTAGCATGGTCATTTGTGCCTTGTAGACATGAAAGAGGCAACAAGATAATATTCATTTCTATTGTTATTAGGGAAAATCTGTGAAATCAGTTATCTATTATAAATTGGATTCCTCCCTCCCCCCCCCCCTCTCTCATTCTCATTCTCACTCTCACTCTCTCCCCTGTTTTTCATTAGATATTTGGGATTTTCCTGGCTAAGACACTGATTTCTGATATTGATGCAGTGAAGTCCGGCTTTTATTTCCCAAGATAAAAACTAAAAACAGCGAAGACCAATCGATCTTCATTCTTTGTACCAAGATTGTGAAGGGAAACAAAAGGAACTCTGAGACTTAGAAAACATGGAATGTATCTAGGACATAAAGCCTCTATATGCCTTTGGTTAAAATGCCAAATGGCCTCCTGCTTTAATTTTTGTGAATTGTTTTTTCGACATTGTTTTGTTTGAAGGAGACATATTCACCTCCAGCCTTCTTCTGCATGCTGATGGGTGAAGAGCAGGGCATGCAACACCAACCTCCTCTTAGTGATGTCCGCATCAAGACCACTGTCTCTGTTTTCTGTTTTGCTCCTTCCTTTAGTTTTCTTTACAGTATTTCGAACTTAGAATGTACATTCCAAATGTAGATCAGTGACTAGAAGAAGAAGAAGAAGAAAAAAGAAGTCACACGATGCCAAATAATTATACCTGAAGGGTGGGGAAATGGGAGACAAAGGCCTGGAAACATTGATGCTGGAAACACGTTCAGGGAATGTTGTGCATGTTGACAAGTATATTGTTTGTGAGTTTTTACAACACAAGCCATGTTTGTAGAGTTGCATGGATGGATGGGTGAAGGATTCCTGCTCTTCTTTAGTCCTTTAGTCGGACCTCATGCGTACAGAAGATGGACATTTTTCCCCTGTGGAACAGATCCAATGCATCCATTTGAGATGCTACGAGATCTGGAGGGGACACTGGCTTTGCTTCAAAAGGAGTTTTCATCCAATGGGAAATCTTTACGTAAATGGATTTATATATATATAAAAAACAGAAACAAATGTTGTTCTTTTCATTCACTGGTGTCGAGGCTGCATTGTCAAGTTTTTTCTTTATTTTAGACTTTTGTAACATTGGTCTTGTTATTTACAGAAGTTTGGACAAGGGAATGTGTTGTCCTACAGCAGGGGTCTTCAAACTTGACAGCTTTAAGACTTGTGGGCTTCAACTCAGCTTGCCTTTGGAAGTTGTGGGAGCGTCATCAGTTGAGACTTTCAAGAAGAGATTGGACTGCCATTTGTCAAAAATGGTGTAGGGTCTCTGTTGAGGTAATTTCCCGTTAGTAGAATGAGCGCGTACAGGGAGACGTAGTGAGAGAAGTGTTTGAATAATACACATACAGCACACAGATACACTGTACAGTAAATGTAGGTTTTTACTTCCCTAAACATTTGAGCAAAGTTCAAACACAGTCCAAAGTCATTCACAGGTAAGGCAGTCAATTTTCAGTCCAGGGATAATCCAAATATCAAATTCCAGTATCAAAAACAGTTCAGTAACAGACTTATATCACATCCAAGAATAGCAGTCAATTAGGAAAAATGGAGGAACGGCAAAACTCTCCAGCAGAAGGAAACAGAGACTCACTGAGACACACTCTCTTCTGAGACTAAGACTAAACAACCCAGGTTTCTGGCTCCATTGTATGGCCATTTGAGAAACCACACCCAATTATACTTTTAGCATTCCCTTAAAGAGACAGTATTAAAATGTCTATTCTGGTTTATATATTTTCCAACCCAAATAACTGTTAGGTGACTCATATTCCTAACAGTCTCCCACTTGGGCAGGGGGTTGGACTAGATGATCTATAAGGTCCTTTCCGACTCTGATTATCTGTTAACTCCCAGAATTCCTCCTCCAGTCATGTTTGCTCAAGAATTCTGTGAACTGAACTCCACAAGTCTTAAACTTGCCAAGTTTGAAGACCCTTGTCCTAAAGCATCGCTAACGTTGCAGGAAGTGGTTACACCTGATACAGAATAACTTTCAGTGATGGACATGGCTAAATAGGGTGAAGTATATTTCTCAAAACAATAGTTCACAAGTTTCTCTAAAGCACATTCTATTTCCCTCCCTCTCTATGGTAGCAATTAGTTTTCATAAATCAGGGGTCAGCAACCCGTTGCTCTGGAGCCGCATGTCGCTTTTTCATCATGTGCTGCGGCTCCTTGTCTCTTAAAATATGCATCACAATCGCCAATGTGCGACACACAATTTATTGGGCTTTTTTACCCCCAGTAGCCAACCATGGATAAATCCAAGAAAAGAGAAGTTACAGAAGAAAACAGAATGTTTAATTCAACTACATAGGCTAGTTTTGTGGCCACTCAGGAAATAGACAGGCACGGGAAGGGTTTTTATGGCTCCTGGTGTTTTCTGTGGGAAACTGATCCACATGGCTCTTTGAGTGTTTAAGGTTGCCAACCCCTGTCCTAAACATAAAAGAACAATTGGATGCATTTAATCACGCAAATCCACTGACAGGAGAAAACAACGGAATGCCTTATTTGTATAGTCCACTTTTCTTCTGTGGATAGTTGGAGAACTTAGACTTATTGGACATTAGCTCCACCTGAAAAAGGGTCTACAACATGTCTTTGGAACTTGGAACCATGCAGGATACCTTCAACAGTTTGTGTAATCTCATATTTACTGCTTCTGTGAAAGCTGAATTACCCATAAAGACTGGTATGGAAGCCAAGTGTCATCCTTCCCAGTCTATTGTAAATTAAACAGGAGTTTAATTTTCGGTGGCCTTTCAGGTCTTACTGAACTAGCTTCTCCAACAGCTTTGGAGAAGGTAGCCAAGTGGGGTTTGTAGCTCAACAATGAGGCATCTTCCAATTGTGTTGAAAGCCCCTAGGCTGGAAATTTTCAGGGCTTGCAGGTCCAAAGATGGAGGGCAGATCCAACTTAGAAGACAATGCTCTGGCATGTACCCGACAAAAGTTTTGTTTTCTGAAAAGGTGAAGAATACAGTCAAGTGTTTGTCTTATGGAACCTGCACTCCCCACCCCCAGGAAACTAATCTGTGATTGTCATGGGAATTGATGGCCGTAGCCTTCATACCTTAGAGGGTTGGTCATTATTTTCAGTTTGTATTCCTCTAAAATGCAGCTTTGGGACAATGTAGTCAATTATGTATTTCAGGGATTATGAGAATAATTTCACAGTACGTCATTTAGCCAAATGTTCTAATCCTATGTACACTTACTTTGGAGAAAATCTTATTAACTAGACCTATTTCCATATAGGTATTTAGAGGATTACAGTGGACATGAAATATTTTGAATACTTTAAGAAAATGTCTAAGCATTAAAGCTGAATAGTTACAATTGGACTCAAATTTTCAAATTGGTTCAGGTTTCCAATTCAATTTAGAAAACTGAGTTACATTTATTATTAGATGTAGTCTGTTAAATCTGGATCTGGTCCTGATTTGGAGGCATTTGATTCAACCATTTACCTTGCCTTTCCAATTTAATTTGATCACCAGAGACTATCAAATCCACTATAAGGTTTTAAAAAGCCTTAGTAAGACCACACGTAGAATACTGCAGTTCTGGTCACCATAATATAAAAACAGATGTTGAGACTCTGGATAGAGTGCAGAGAAGAGTAACAATAATGATTAGGAGGCTGGAGGCTAAATCATACAAAGGATGGTTGCAGGAATTGGGTATAGCTAATCTAATGAAAAGTACAAACATCTCTCTCACGTCAACACCAGAACTGTTTGTACATTCATCCCTAAATTTTAACAAGCATCAACGATTCTGAATGAATTTGTGATACACTAATATCTTTTGTATCCAACATTCTGATTTCTCCAATTCGGCGAAGGGTGATCCTGGTTATCATTACAACCTTAATAGTAATTCAAGATGAGAATGCATGAAACATACCAAGAATGATTGCAGGAACTGGGTATATGTAGTTTAGTGAAAAGAAGGAGCAGGGGTGACATGGTAGCAGTGTTTCAATACTTGAAGACCTGCCACAAGGAAGAGGAGGCCAACTTATTTACCAAAGCACCTGAAGGCAGGACAAGAAGCAATGGATGGAAACTAATCAAGGAGAGAAGCAACTTAGAACTAAGGAGAAATTTCCTGACAGCAATCAATCAGCGCAAAGCTTGCCTTCAGAAGTTATGAATACTCCAACATTGGAAGTTTTTAAGTAGAGATTGGACAACCATTTCTCTGAAATGGTATAACATCTCCTGCTTGAGCACGGGGTTGGACTAGAAGACCTCCAATGTCCCTTCCAACTCTATTATTCTGTGTTCTATTTTTGTGTAAATCTCCATGTTGAGTATTTGTGCACCACTACAAAAATGCATGTTTGAGTGTCCCTTGAAAATTAGCAGGGTGCTTAACTGGGCTTGAGTTTTACAGCTCTTTATTCTGGCTGGTTTTTCAGGACTGCAACTTTCATAATCTCTTCTGACACCATGCGAAGCTTGAATTTGTATAATTTTATACATTTTTAAAAGCTTTTTTCAGTTCCATAAAAATGCACCCTGCTTATATAATTCTCTTGTCTAAAATAAATCTTTTCTCTGCTAGGGACACTGGGTGCTACTGTTTTATGTAAGGTTGGTTTTAAAACACATGCTCCTCTGAGAATTCGCTGACCTATTTTCATAGACTAATGAAACATGTTTCCAAGGTGAGGGAAAAAAGGTTCTTGCAATGTGTTAGATGCTTCTCCGCTGGATACAAACCATTTTGGGTTGTGTTTCCTGAATATCCCTGACCAGAGGACAGCTATGGACATGTGGGTTGGTGAAAGATGTTTCATGATGGTAATTGGGGATGGCCATCATTTCATGGTGCATGGTTGAAACTAGAATTAGAAGTGTTGAATAGAATAGAAATTAGAATAGAATAGAATAGAATAGAATTCTTTATTGGCCAAGTGTGATTGGACATACAAGGAATTTGTCTTTGGTGCAAATGTTCTCAGTGTACATAAAGAAAAAATAAAATATATTTATGAAGAATCATATGATACAACACTTAGTGATAGTCATAGCTTATTTATAAGCAATAACATCATACTAGGAAAACAAAACAATATAAATTGTAAAGATACAAGCAACACAGTTATAGTCATAAGTGGGAAGAGATAGGTAATAGGAAGGATGAGAAGTAATAGTAATTCAGTCTTACTAAGTAATTTGACAGTGTTATGGGAATTAGTTGTTTAGCAGAGTGGTTGCATTTAGGAAAAAACGGTCCTTGTGTCTATTGTTCTGGTATACAGAGCCCAATTGAGGGTAAAAATTGAACAATTTATGTCCAGAATGTGAGGGGTCTGTAGATATTTTCAAAGATATTTTTGAGAGCTTGCGGTACTGAATCACAAGTGTGTTCTGAGCATCTCCATTTCTGGGACAATTAGGCTGAGAATGACATATTGGTCTTCAGCCATTGGCCCCTTGACATAGCTCTTCTGTCAACTCAAATTTCTGAAAACGCCCACTTGCCAGTGTCTATTTACCATAATCGATTACAGAACACTAAGAAAAAGGAAAGCTATCTCATTCTGAAGTCCGTCAAAGTCCCTTCCAAGTCTTATTATTCTATGTTCTCTACTTTTAGGAAACCCAGTTAATGTTTAATGTTGCCACAATGCAGAAAAGGTGCCGAGACCTTAGAAAGCGTGCAGAGAAGAACAAGCTGAACAAGTTGCACTCGTGTCAATGATGCTTCCAGGTTGAAAGGATTAGCCGATGATATCACCATTGCCTAGGGAACACTTGGCTTGAGGCTTTTTTCATTTCCCTGGAAGGAGATGGAGCGAAGGACGGGAGCTCACCCCACCCCACCCCACAGCATCACTTGGGTCTTGAACACAGGCTTGCTAACCTCCAACCCAGCATCCTAACCATGCGAGCCATCTTATCTTCTACAAAGATGATAAAGGATCTAGAGTGTAAAGGCATATGATGTAGGGCTGAGGGAGCTACCATAGGTAGGTCTACACTCTCAAAGAGAAGGATTTAGGGAGATATGAGAAATGTCTTCTTGTACTCGAGGGGCTGTCACAGAGAAGACTTATCTCCAAAGCACCTGAGGGCAGATCAAAAAGCAATGGGTGGAAGGTCTTCGGAGGGACATCCAACCTGGAAAGAAGGAGGAATTTCCTGGCGGCGAGAACAATTTATCAGTGAAACCATTTGCCTCCTGGAGTTGTGGGTGCTCCATCACTGCAGGTTTTCAAAAATAGACCAGATGATCATTTGACTGGGATGGTAAGGTCTCCTGCTTTGAGCAGGGGATTGGACTAGAAGACCTCTGAGGTCCCTTCCAGCTTTAGGATGCTATGTTCTGTTGGTGAGGCAACCATCCAACCAACCAGCTCTATCAAACTCAGTCATTGGCCATATGAATAATTGGACAAAACAAGTGATCATTGTTCATCCAGACAGAGGATAATTTCAGCGTCCTGGCAAAGAAACAACAGCAGTGACTATAGCAAGGCTTATAAAGGTTAAGAGACTGGCTGGAAAATCCATCAGTTGATGAAATATTAAACATCATTCCTATCCGTGTAGCAATTAGTTCCAGAGCTGCACAGGAGGTCCTCCCCTTGAGGCTTGCTTTTCTTTCCACTTGCCTGAAGACATCTCAAGCAGGATCCCCAGGAAAGGTTTCCAGAAAGACACCGTGGGGAAATAAGGGGATATGGAGTGAAAGCAAGGAGGTGGCATTTTCCTAGGGCTGGGCTGATTTAATGCCTTTCTGAGTCTGTTCCTCAAAACAGTCGCATTGAGGAGAGACATTCCCTCAATGCTTTCAAGATAGCGACAGGAAAAGGCAAGTTGTAAAACTTGCAGCATGCAGTAAATTCCTGATTTCCCAGCAGTGGTGCCAATCCCACCAAAGGCCACCTTTTGTTGTTATTACCATCTTTGTTGTTGTCTTCCTTCCCTGACCCTGCTGCTTAATAGAAACAAGTCAAGGTCATAGCCACACAGGGCATCCATTAGGGAGATGAACAAAAGGAATACACACACACACAGAGAGAGAGAGAGAGAGAGAGAGAGTGTTAAAGCAGCTGTGGATAGAATAGATTCTTTAAGAAACAAATGCAAACCTGGGACTTTGCAAGCTAATCTATTCCTTCCCAGGTGGATTCTGGGAAATGCCTACACCCAGGGGTGGGCTTCCAAATATTTAGCAATGGGTTCTCTGCCCAGTTGCTGGGTGGGTGTGGCCATGGTAGTCAGCTCCTGCACCACGGCGGGGAGGGGGAAACTTTTGCTCTTCCTGGGTTCCAGAGGCTTTCCTTGAGCCTCCGGGAAGTTGAAAATGGCCTCCCTGGGCTCTGGCTCTGGAAGCTGGAAATGGGCCCATTTCTGGCCTTCCTGAACTTCCGGGAGGCCCATTTTTCACCCTCTCTGAGCCTCCACGCGTGCCCTGCACTTACCTGCATCCAAAACGGTCCACGTTGGGACTTCTGGGAGAGGAGGGGTGGGCAGGGCGGGGCCAGCCAGCAGTGGGATTTGGTGGTTCTCCAAACTGCACAGAACCTTAGCTAGGGGCTCTCCCCAACCGCTTCCTACACCTATCCAGGCAGTTTTCTTGCCAACTTGCCATGGCTTGCTCTCACTTATGGAGATCTGTGTGGAGTAGTTATAAGAGAGAGAAAAAATCCAAGTTCAGGAAGACTGTTAAGATAGGAATAGAAGTCAATCAGTTTGACACAATAGATCAAAGGATGGACCTTGTGAGGTACATTTAAAATAGAACATTCCATCCAAAACTCCCCCTCCTCTTCAAGAATACCATGTAAGGTCCAAAAAGGCTCATTCAGAACCACAAGGGTTGTTTGATTAGGTCAGTTTAAGACTTGTGTGGACTTCATTCTGGGAGTTGAAGTCCACAAGTCTTATAAAGTTGCCAAGTTTGGAGACTTCTGGATTAGGTTTTTACTGATGTAGTCAATTCATCTCTTCATGGTTTATTTCCTCTTCAACTTGTCTTATCAGGGGTCTTCAGACTTGATAGCTTTAAGTCTTGTGGACTTCGCTTCCCAGAATTCCTCCTCCAGGCATGTTAGCTCAGGAATTCTGGGAGTTGAAGTCCCCAAGTCTTAAACTTGCCAAGTTTGAAGACCCTTGTCTTAGATTATGTGAGAAAGACCAAACATACTGACAGGGTATTTTGTAAGAATAAAGGCTAAACTAAATAGGAGGATGGAATGTGTCAAACCATACTATGTTAGAAGGGATTCAAATATACTGCTCAAAAAAAAAATAAAGGGAACACAAAAATAAGACATCCTAGATCTGAATGAATGAAATATTATTATTAAATACTTTGTTCATTACATAGTTGAATGTGCTGACAACAAAATCACACAAAAATTATCAATGGAAATCAAATTTAGCAACCCATGGAGATCTGGATTTGCAGTTACACTCAAAATTAAAGTGGAAAAAAACACTACAGGCTGATCCAACTTTGATGTAAGGTCCTTAAAACAACTCAAAATGAGGCTCAGTAGTGTGTATGGCCTCCACGTGCCTGTATGACCTCCCTACAACACCTGGGCATGCTCCTGATGAGGTGGCGGATGGTCTCCTGAGGGATCTATGTATTATTATTATTATTATTATTATTATTGTTATTGTTATTGTTATTATTATTATTGAAATTTCCTGACAGTGAGAACAATTAACCAGTGGAATGACTTGTCTCCAGAAGTTGTGGGTCTCTCCCATCAATGGAGGTTTTTAAGATGTGATTGGACAGCCATTTGTCCAGAATGGTATAGGATTTCCTACTTGAACAGGGCTGGACTAGAAGTCTTCTTTTGTTTATTTAGTGCCATCCAGAGGTGGTATTCAGCAGGTTCTGACCGGATCTGGAGAACCGGTAGCGGAAATTTTGAGTAGTTCGGAGAACCGGCCAATCCCACTTCTGACTGGCTCCGCCAACCCCTTCTCTTCTCTGCTTCCCATTGAGTCCCAGATGATTGGCTGGGTCTTCTTTTGTTGCACAGGAGAATGGAGCTGAAAAGCAGGTTAGTGGGGTGGGGAGGGGATGGGGATCTTACAGTATCCTTCCGCTGTCACATCCACCAATCAACACCCACAGAAGCAGTAATAAAAAAATTTGAACCCCACCCCTGGTGCCATCAATGCACCTGGCATTTTTCCAGGTACACACCCAAACAAAAATTAGATTGCAGGCCCCTGAGCATTAGAGTTAATGTGAATTTTCTGTCTTTAGTAACTCTATTAAGAGTTCCTAAAGAGTTGGATGAATAGTAGGAGAAACATCTAACTTTGGGACAAACTTCCAAACATTAACAGTTGTTCAACTGTGGCACCATCTGCTCAGGGAAGTGGAGGCCTTTCCTCCTCTGGAAAAAAGAACCGAAGCAAAGGCAAGACACCATCTGTCATTAACGTTTAAGCTGCAACTTGCATCACAGATCCTACGCTGAGCAGAAGATTAGATTAGTGGCCATTCATGTCCCTTCTGACTTTTTGATTCTACCTTCTGATGGAATGTCGTGCAAGACCTCTGCAGAATGTTCTTTTTTTCCTTAGTGGATAGTTTCTTAGATTACTATAATGTTGCGGTGGGGGTGGGGAACCTCATCAGACCAGTTCTATCCTGCACCAAAAATAACATTCTAGAACCAGATATTTACATAGAATTATTTAGCATTTATTTGACTGGGTTCTGCTTACACAGAAAGCAAAATTGAGGGATGTTTTTGAGGTCCCATGTAGGTTGGCTATGGATGCTGTGATTGTCCTCTTCCTTTCAAAATGCCTTTTCTGTAACAAGTGATTGGTCTCATTCGAGACAACGATGAATCTGCATACAGACAGGAGGTTATACAACTTGCCTCGTGGTGTAACCGGAACAATTTGGAACTGAACACACTCAAAACCGTAGAAATGGTGGTAGACTTTAGCATTATACTACCATACTACCACCTCTTGCAATACTAGACAACACAGTATCAACAGTAGAGACCTTCAAATTTCTAGGTTCTACTAAATCACATCACCTAAAATGGACACCTAACATCAAAAACATCATCAAAAAAGCACAACAAAGAATGTTCTTTCTGTGCCAACTCAGAAAGTTCACACTGCCCAAGGAGCTGCTGATCCAGTTCTACAGAGGAATTATTGAGTCTATCATCTGCACCTCTATAACTATCTGGTTTGGTTCTGCAACCCAACAGGACAGACACAGACTTCAGAGGGTAATTAGGACTGCAGATAAAACAATTACTAACCACCTGCCTTCCATCGAGGACCTGTATACTGCACTAGCCAAAAAGAGGGCTGTGAAAATATTTACAGACCCCTCACATGCCGGACATAAACTGTTTCAACTCCTTCCCTCAAAATGACTCTATAGAGCACTGCACAGCAGAACAACTAGACACAATGACAGTTTTTTCCCCGAAAGCCATCACTCTGCTAAACAAATAATTCCTTCAACACTGTTCAACTATTTACAAACTGTACACTACTATCACTGTTAATCTTCTCACCACTCCTTATCTCCCATCCCCTCCCACTTGACTGTTTCCTAATATGATTTGATTGTTGATTGTACCCTATGACTATTATTAAGTGTTGTACGTTATGATTCTTGATTCTTAACGAATGTACCTTTTCTTTATGTATACTGAGAGTATTTACACCAAGACAAATTCCTTGTGTGTCCAAATCACACTTGGCCAATAAACTATTCTATTCAATTCAGTTCTATGATAGGGAGGTCCTATACCATTTCAGACAAATGGCTGCCCCATTTCTTCTTCAAAACCTCCAGTAATGGAGCACCCACAACTTCCAGAGGAAAGGGGTTCAATTGATTAATTGATTGCACTGTCAAGAAACGTCCCCTTCATTTTAGGTTACATCTCTCCTTAATGATCTTCTACCCATTACTTCTTGTCCTGCCCTCAGGTGCTTTGGAAAATAAGTGGATTTCCTCTTCCTCTTTCCTCTGTGACAGAATCTCTAGTATAAAAGATTTATATCATCTCTAGTCCTTCTCATCATTAGACTAAATATTCCTAGTTCCATCAATTGTTCATCATAAGGTTCATCATATCATATCCAGACTCTTTTATTATCTTTGGTGCTCTTCCTTGCACTCTTTCTAGGGCTGCAACATGTTTTTTGTATTGTGGCGACCAGAATAGAATCAATTCAGAATAGAGAATAACCAGTAGTTGCTTGTATTTTTGTCCTGTTAGCTAAGTTTCTTCTCTCAGTGGGAATGGCTGGACTGCAAACTGCTTAATTCGGGGGCATGCTGCCTTTTGTATGGATCGTGGTATCCGATGCTAAGTATCCAATGCAGCTATGGCATCATTATGACTGAAACGTGATCACGCAAAAAAATTTCCAATTGCTTTCATAAACTTTTTCCTACAGCAGCAAGATCAGGGGATACTGGCAGCTAAAGTCCCCATCATCTTGGAGGGGGGGGGGGGAATACTATGGAACAAAAAAGAGCTATGCCACATTTGATCTTGGATTGAGATGGGATGGAGATTTCATAAATGAGGGCACAAAAGGGTTAAACCACTATTCTGCAGGTTGTTTCTAATCTGAGTTTTGTTGTAAACCTCCATTAATTCAATGACTTTCAAAACATCTGGGAAAAAAATACTTGCTGTCTCAGATGCCCATCACAATTCAACACAACACAACACAACATAACACAACACAACATAATTGATGTAAAGTTCCCAACTGCTTTTCATATCAGTGATGAATTTGAATTTGTTTACCCAACTAGATTGAAATTATCACAATTCAAGGGGCTGCATAGAGGCTTGCTGAGTTGTGTCTTTACTTGAAGATGTTTATATATGTTCTGAACCAGCTTGGCCTCTAACTGCCTCCTTGGTAGCTAGAAACGTGATGAAATAAGGCTGCCAGAGGCCAATATATAGTGTAAGGGGAAGACAGTTGCTGTAACCAACCTTGTTTCAACTTGCTTTGTACTTCCCACATTGCAAACAGAGTCTATGGAGTATTTCTCTGGGTCTTCATCCTGTTTGTGTTGGAGACACCTTTTAGGGTGCTTCCAGGTTGAAAGGATTGACTGGTGACATCACCATTGCCTGGGGATAGTCGTGTGGACTCCTTCAGGTCCCTGTCAAGGAGTGTGTCAGCATTCCAACTAACCAGCTCCAAACCAATAAACTCCGAGACAGGCATTTCCTCAAAGTTCCATTTTATTTGAGTTGTCATATTGGCACATCTGCGAAAACCCAAATCTGAGAGTTCTGGGTTTTCCCTTCCTAAAAGATAAATCAAAGATCCATCCCCTGCATCCATCAGTCCATCACATCATCCAATCAAATCTTCTTCCCAGCTGGAGACATCCCCCCAGTCACTCGTCTCCAGGTGCAGGGCAACATGTCCTTGACTCTCTGAGAAAGAATGTTGTTGAGTCCGTGGGTTTTCTTGAATAATTCTGACATTAGCCTCTTAATTAATGGGGTGTTATACATTATACCCACCCAACTCTTTCACTTTTTCAATATCTTTAGTCCTATGGGTCCAAATTCCTACTGCTCATGTTCATTCAAGTTCTTGTGAGCAACATATTCATTACATGATAAAGGGAAGTGAAAAATTTAGATTTGGGGTGGTAAAGGATAGATTTTTATCCAGAAAGGCTTTAGTTAATGAATTAGTGGTCCCTTTTTTGTTCATTGTCCACTTCAGGGAAAGCTTCAATACTTAAATGGACTACAGAAATCATTGAACAAGGCAATCTGTGCCTTCATTCTGCAGTGTGACCTACTTGCTAGTTGCTATAGAAATCAGGTGTTTCACTGCTCGGGCCTGTTGAATGACACTTACAAGTTTTTGTTTATAGAACAATGAGAAGGACGGATCAGATTAAAAACCACAGAACCAGTGCAACCAAAAGACAGTGACCATTAATGACGGGGTTGGGACTTTCTTGCCAGCTGATGAATGGATCAAGATGAAAGAAACTCCAATTCTCTCCTTCTGCAATCGCTAAGCTGTTTTGAAAAAAAAATGTGTATTTTTGTCCAAGTGTCAGGGAAACTTCAGTTGAAAATGACTGATCCTAAAATAATTTTCTTCTAAATTTCAATACTGCATGCTCTATGCAAAATATAGAGGCATTCTCTATTCTCTCCCTCTCTCCCTCCCTCTCTCTCTCCCTGCCACCCCACTGTCTCTCCTTATCCATCCATCTCTCTCTCTCTCATCCTATCTCTCTCTCATTCTCTATCTATCTATCTATCTATCTATCTATCTATCTATCTATCTATCTATCTATCTATCTATCTATCTATCTATCTCTTCCTCTCTCCCTCCTTCCCTCCTCTCTCACCACTCTCTCTTTCTCTCCTTATCCATCCATCCATCTCTCTCTTATCTATCTCTCCCTCTCTCTCTATCTCATCCATCTATCCATCCATCTATCATCTATCAATCTAAATATATATAATCTAGGGATGGTGTAAGTCAGGTTTTGGTTATGATAGTCATAATGTCTGCAACTGGTCTGTTGAAAAGCTGTATATAATAGATGGGTTGCATCCAACACAGAAAGGGAATGAGCTACTTAAATTCAGGGGTTTTCTGGAGAAACATTAAAACTGAATAATGGAGACAGAGAGTTAAACTCCCGGGACATTATTTTACCAAGAGTATAAAACTTTACTGGAAAAAAAAACACATTGGCACAGACAAAGCGAAACCAGCTCTGGGTTTCCTGCACAAAAACAAGCAAAAGTCATACAATGTAGTTTTCCTTTAATCCTAAACATAAATATTTTAACAGAGAAAAGAACATTCGGAAAAAATAATGCCCGTATTCCAACGTCTTGTGTCAAGAAACACAAAATAAGATCACAATGAGAAACATTATACATAGCTACCAGAGTGTTTAAGTACTGATTTATGCATGTAAATGACTACATTTAGTGTTCATCAAGCCATTAATGTGCATATCTAAACCACCCCTATGTGGCTTCTGATAAAATGTGGAACTGTTTCTATTAAAAATGTACTCTATAAACCAAAGGGTGCATTTGATAGGTGACAATTATATCTGACCATTGTGGCAAGTTGTCACTCAGAATGAATGAAATAAATGAGCGTAGGCTGGTAGTTCGGAAAGGCTTAACTGGAATCAAAATTAGCTTTAACTGGAATCAAAAACCTTCTTTCCAAATATATAGTGACATTTGTTCATATATCTCCGGTTGCCATGCCTTTTCTGAACAGGTCTCTTGCAGAATTACGCAGAAGCGAGACATGTTTTTAGTAAGCAACATGTCAACTAAAAAGATACTCTTTTGGTCTTTTTAGCTGGCAGAAAAAGGGAGTAGGGGAAAACAGTGCATTCCTTACGTGCCTAGATAATCGCCCTGGCAGCCCAAAGTTGTGGGAGCGCAAGAATACTGGAGAGCATGGTTGATGACTCTTGGCTATGGATGTGTCTCATTGGAGAATATACATCCAGGGGGTGGGAAGAAGACTAAGGTCAAGGGGGAAATGAATGATGTATTTTAGTATCGGCTGCACCCAGCCAACGCCAACATGGCCACTTTTAATAAATCAATTTTATTTTCTCTGAGAGATATGGCTAGAGTCTTTTGATTTGAATGGGGATGGATTTGATGGAGCCCTGACACAGCAATTAGTGGTGGGATGCAAAATTTTTTACTCTCAGTTCTGTGGGCATGGCTTGGTCGACGTGGTGTGGTTTGGTGGGCATGACTTGGTGGGCGTGGCAGGGGAAGGATATACTGCAAAATCCCCCTTCCCTCCCCACCCCACTGACCTGCTTTCCAACTCCGTTCTCCTGTGCAGGGCAACCAAAGAAGACCCAGCTGATCAGCTGGGACTCAATGGGAGGCAGAGAATAGATGGGGTTGGTGGGGCCAGTCAGAGGTGGAATTTGCCAGTTCTCCAAACTACTCAAAATTTCTGCTACCGGTTCTGCGGAACTGGTCAGAACC